AGAGAGAGAGAGAGAGAGAGAGAGAGAGAGAGAGAGAGAGAGCACACACTCACTCACTCGACACGACTGAGGGACTCGACGGACGCAGACACAGTTGTAAAGACGCAAAGTCGAAGTCTTGGATTCCGAATGCCGAATCAGGGGCAAGTCACACTGAGTACGAGTACAGAGCTGAAAACTGGTCCGAGACTGGTCCCCGTACTGTACGGGGAGCCGGTATAAGGTGACACGTACGTTACCAGGGGCATTTCCGCAAAAGCCCCGAGGCCAGAACTGAAAAATACGGTATTTGAAAGTGGCGCCCGAATTGCAGCATGGCGCCAGTTGTCCAAAATCTGACGGTACCAAAGGAGGGGTTTGGAAAAAAGGGTGCCAGGCCGAAAACTGGATGCAGCAGAAACAGCAAAAAGATAGACCAGGGGTCGAGCCCTGGCGGAGTCCATAACAATCCCTATTTCCTCCCTCTATGAATGAAGGATAGAAAGTTGAAAAGATACTCGAGCATGGATATTTTTCTACAGGTGGCAGAGGAAGGCCACAAACGCAGTTTAAGGTAAAGTTCAAATCTCAACGCCCATCAGAAGCCAGACGGTTTAGTAAAAAGGAACTTATACCTACTGCTATGGGCATTGTTTCTGCATGCGAGTGTGGACTGAAAGGGAAACCTAGCCTAAGCTGAAAATTTTTGCGATGGAACTCAAAATTGGGCCGGTAGGAATGTAACCCGCTCGAAATATGCTCTTATCATCGGTCATGGGCCGCCCACAGGCCACAGCAAGGCCTTGCGCCAGACCGTATCCAAACAAGACCCCGAAATGAGGCCTCAGAGGCCCTGCCCCCGACAATTGACCAAAGAAAGTCAATAGGCAATTGTAGCTCGAAAATTGAGGCTCACGAGTCAAAGTCTGCCTGGACCCAGTCCAGGCCATCGATCAGACACAAACATTAGTTGTACGCAGGTATCCAGGCAGAATCTGGTCCAAGTGGAAGTTTGCAAGTGTATGCAATCCAGGCCATTGACTATGGGTCAATCTGAGCCCTCGTATCCGAGAGACCACACTGTTGAATCTGTGTCAACACTACAGATTGAGCCAACCCCTTTGCATTGACATTCAATCTTGCACTTGTTGCTTGAAGCTGGCACGACGTTGGCTGGACGCTGGCTGGACACTGGCTGGACACTGGCACTACGCTAGCATTGTGTGCGGCGACGACGTGAGACTGTTGCATTGTATTGCTGGCGCCCCTCTATTTTTGGTACCAGTTGGAGACTTGATTGCTGATATGGCGCTTGCCACATTGACTTCGACACAGATTGGGGTATCGACGAGGAAGGAGGTCAGGGCTGTGACATTGGTTGTGAGAGAGAGGGAATCTTACCCGATTATTGTTGTCAACATTACGTGTTGCTGTGACGTCTTCATAAGTGATTTGTACGATGTTGTGATCGGTTCTCGCCAGGCTCGTCTTTGGTATACTGTACGTTGACGTGGACAGAGAGGAGATGCCCGAAGGAGGAGTGGGACATGAGCGAGATCTATCTTCAATGACATTGATGGATACTTTCTCTTCCACCCTCTAAGTCTTATTTCCCTCCTATCAGCTTCGTCCTTTGGTTACGAGACATTGTATTTCAGATCACATTCATGATTATTGGAGACATTGACATGCGTTGAGACATCTTGGACTTCGACATTGACGAGTTTCTCTCCAGACTGGGTTCATTGCAATTTCTTCTTCGGCCCTCAGCCCCAATGTCAAACTACAAATTTCCCCTCGACGGCCTAAATCCTGCCAGCGTTCATCACCAGCGGATGCAATGAGTACCTGCTCCAATACCAATTGCTTTGAGCCTCACTGCTCGACACCTTGATCACACACACGCTCACTGAGAGATCACACGAAATCCACACTGGAGTCCAGAGATGCAAAGTGGAGATATGCGCAGCTTACAAATTCCAACAAATTATTATATTAAACCGTTTCAGAGTTCCAGTCGCCAAGCGCTCAACAGCGCAGAGTTCAGCAGCCCAATACCAGCATCCTCATCTAAGGTGGGTGGCTCTCTCTCTCTCTCTCTCTCTCTCTCTCTCTCTCTCTCTCTCTCTCTCTCTCTCTCTCTCTCTCTCTCTCTCTCTCTCTCTCTCTCTCACTACACTTGAGAATCTTGACTCTGAATACATCTGCTACTAATCAGCTCTATCTCCGACTACTAGCTATGCGGCTATGGCCGCCTTCCCTCTCAGGACGGCGCTGGCCAGCAGGGCTCTCGCGTATTCTACTCGCAGATAGCGCACAAGCAGTTCAGCAGCACTTGCACACTTCTCACGAATGAGCTATCTTCCCCGAAATGTGGCTGGCCAGTCGTTATATTGGCTTGGACTGAGCCTCAACTCGTCCCAGCCTCTGCTCCTTTCGCATGACTTGGACCCGGTACCACGTGCCCACGGCCTGCTTGCTTCAGAATGTCAAGGCCTGGTACTTCCCCGAATTTTCATTGGTGTGCTGCTGAATTTTCATTGGTGTGCTGCTGCTTGGGTCTGTGAGTCACGACTTTTCACCCGTGGAACATGACTTTTGACTGTGGGATGTGACTCTTGCCTCTGGGACACGACTTTTGCCTGGTAAAGTGTCCTTTGCCTGTGGAATATGACTTTTCAATATGACTTTTCAATATGACTCTTCAATATGAGACGTGACTTTCGCGCATAGGACACAACTTTTGCCTCTGGGATGTGACTGTTCACCGGGTGCCTGTTGTTCTTGACTCCTAAGGTACCCGACTGTGACTTTTCTGAACTGGCCGACTTGTCCTTCCTTGGCCTGAGACCGTGACCCTGAAGTCGAATTTGGGGTCTGCATCGTGGAATGCCTTTCAACAGTAACTAGAGCTGCAGTTGTGACAGCAGCACTGGGCCTTGCAGTTCAAAGCATCAGGCGCAGCAGCACTGGGACTTGCAGTTCAAAGCAGCAGCTCCTAAACGACAACATCAAGAACAATGACTCCAACAATGGGAAGAGGAGGAAGCAGAAGACGAACAGAAAGAAAATGATGATGATAATGACGATGATGACGATGATGGTGGTGGTGGTGGTGGTGGCGGCAGCGGCGGTGTTGGTGTTGGTGGTGGAGGTGATGTTGTTGGTGGTGGTGGAGGTGATGTTGGTGGTGCTGGTGGTGGTCGCGCTGTTGGTGGTGGTGGTGGAAAATGGTGACGACGATGATGATGATGGTGGTGGTGGTGGTGGTGGTGGTGGACGTGATGGTGGCTATGGTGGTGATGGTGGTGATGGTGGTGATGGTGGTGATGATGGTGATGCTGGTAATGGTGGTAGTGGGGTCGGTAGTGGTGGTGGTGGTGGTGTGAATAGTAACTATTTACCACAAAGTGTGTATGTCCTCCGGTCGATTTCCTTTGCAAATCCAAAATCTGCAATTTTCACATTCCCTAGTGCATCCAGCAGTAGATTCTCAGGCTGCAATTTCACCACAAAGTACGAGTTCAAGACAAAACCAGAAATGTAAGTGCCTTCAAGTTTTTTTATGTTACTACTATGTTGGGTTGGAAAACCCAGTTTTGGAATCCTCCTCTTCTCCCCCTTTCCCCCTCCTTAGGAAAATAAATAAATAAATAAATAAATAAATAAATAAATAAAACCAGGTCCTTATGGCACTGGCTCCATTTGCATTCTGGGGAGCATCAGTCCGGTTCCTATTCCACCGGCAAGTCAGAATAAAATATTACATCATGAAACACACTCACGCTTCCTTCCGTCTGGCCGAAGGAACCCTGACCAGCATTGTGACCTGTGATGGATCTTGTCCTTCTGCTGGCTGAAATCTGTCTTCTCCACCCTGCTTCTGAGTTGTGCCAGTCTTTCCATCGTATGTGAGAGTCATTTATCTCTGCCACTTTGCCCCTTGCAAGCCACACCTTAGTGAATTTTGCCTTGATTCTTCTCTGTCGCTCTCCCTTGACTCCGCCCATACCTTCTCCTTCGAAGTTGAGAGTCCGTCAATGGTTCTACAGCACCTTTCCTTCCAGATGGACCACAGCGTTACCTTTCTGATCATTCCAAACCACGTTTTCTCTGTCTTGTCGAATTGAGCTGGGATGTTAGTCCATAAAAGGAGTTGGATGGGGTGTTCAGGGAGGGGAGTCGAGAAGAGGGAGTCCCAGAGATCCTAGGCCCTCGCCCAATATTCGGTCGCCTCTCTGCATCGTAGCAGGCAATGTAGCATATCTTCTGGTTCATTTTCTGAACACGCCGCGCATAAATCTGAACTGTTAGGGTCCTTGCTTCTTCTGATATGTAACCACTGGTTAACCCGTAGAGCTAAGTATGAGATGAGCCATTGGAGGCTTCTGATTTTGACCGGACGAATTGACTTGAATTTTTTCCTTGGTATTTGTGGTATCTGATTAGCATCTTGAGTCTTGACCTATTAACTTCTGCCATCTGTTCTTGATTGTTGGGCTAGGATCCTCTGTTTTGAGGAGTAAGTTGTATCCCAGTTTGACTGTGTATTCTTGAATGGAAACATTAGTTTTGGAATCCTAGTAGATGTTTTTTTTCCAATTTAGGCACAGGGTCATATCTTGACATAGTGAAGCCTGAACCGAATGTACCATCATGGCAGGCTCCTACTGAAACAGTCATGGATATTGGGATGGGTATAGTGCACAAGCTTTCACAGAGGCACGAAACTCTCACATTGAGAAGAAATTGAGTAGATTTTTTTTCAATTTAGGCCCAGGGTCATATCTTGATGTGGTGAACCTTGAACAGAATGTACCATCATGGCAGGCTCCTGCTCAAGACAGTGGTGGATAGGGGATGGGTATAGTGCACAAGCTTTCACAGGAGGCACTAAACTCTCACATTGTGCATAAATTGAAAGTGGCCAACAGCGGCCTAGCTCAGTTGGTAGAGCGTGAAAGTGGCATTCAGGAGGTTGTGGGTTTGACTCACCACGGCTTTCATTCGAACCCCCACGGCCTCCTGCGGCGCGCAGCGGGTTCACTAGCTGAGATAGTCAGCTTGCCCCCTCTGGTTGATCTTGGTAGGGGTAAATTTTCCCCCTTCCACCCATCACCAGGGGTTAGGATCCTGGGTGCTACTCCCCAGACAGAGTAGGGCGAAAAGGACCGGCGCGGCAGAGCTTAGGGAAACCCGCAGTGCATTGATAAGCTGAGTCCTCTTGCTCAGATATAAGGGCCGATGATGTAGGTGCGAGGATCTAGTCCCTCGGCAGTGTCTGAAAGTGTCGTGCCCCCCCTAAGTGAAGGCGGGCCTGCAAATATGTGTCAATGGCTGTTTATAGGGCTAGGAGCCCAGGCTGAGGAGCCCAAGCAGAGCCCTGTTGGAACCCCCATGTGGGCATGGATCTTCGATGAGGCCTTGTTACAAGTTAGCTCCTCGGCATGCCCCTGTAGGGCCCTTTCAGCAAGCATGAGCCCGCCCTAAGTGAAGGTGGGCCCCTGAATTTCAATATGGCCTGAGTTCGTCAATTTTGGCATGGTTTGGTGGGCGCCAGACAGTTGCCATGCGCCAGTTGGTTACATCCTCCATACTCGTGAGAATCAGAAATCATTCATGAGCCTTCCAGGCTCTTCCAGCAGCACAGGCGAAGCAGGGAGAACCTCTCGTTTACTCCTGGGTGGTTGCGCATGCCTAACCAATTTGTTCCCAGGCCACTGTCTGAATGGGCCTGGGCGCAGACACTTTGGCCCGATCGGAAGCTGCTGGAAACACACGAGGCCCAGCCAGACAGCACACTGGGCGAGCACTTTCCATAAAGGAAAGAGCTCGCCACTGGTGGGCTCATTCGGGCACTAGGCAGTGCATGCGGCAGCGCTGCTTGAGTGTGCGCTCGCGGGCTGTGCGCTGTGCGCTAGCGCTAGTTGCCAGGCAGTGCGCGCGGGCGCTGGAAGAAGGCAGGGTGCTGCTGAGGGCAGCGCCATAGCCAGCCCTACATAGCCAGGGCTTGGCTTGGACAGCCAGTGGAGGTGGTGGTGGTCCTCGTGCATGAGGGAGAAGACGTGGAAGGAAGACAAGGATAGGGAGAGAGTGAAAGAGATGAGGATGATGATGTAAGGGTGCATACCTGGTATTGGCGATGGTCTGCATTGGTCGACATCTTCAAGTACTTCGGTGGCTGCTGACGTCAACAGTTGCATTGTCAATTAGTAGGCAGGAAGTAGCTATGTAGGGAGCAGCCTGGGGGCCGAGCGCCAAGCAGGGAGAGAGGGCCTGGATACGTATGTTGGTGGGGACGAGAGTAAGCTCTCATTGACATTCGGTTTCGATGTTTCAATTCTCCATTGGTGTAATATTGGTGCGATGCTGCTTATCTGGACACTGTGGGACTGTCTTGCTTTCAATGTGATTGTGCTATCTGGATGCTGTCATCTCGCTATCTCTCATTTTCCTTGCATAGGTAGCTAGTATGAGATGATGATATAAGAATATAAGTTAGCTTGGGGAGGGGGAATGGAGTGAATGACAGGTACTCAGGCATAACCCCAATTGCACAAGCACATGGTTTTGCAGCACCAGCTTGTGTACCGTATTTGTCATTATGTCTGTTGGATGATTTTGCATGGTTTGATTTTTGCCCTTGTTATTTAAGAATTTAACTGCCTATCCTACTGCAATGACCCACACAGAATCAGTCTCATATTTATTCCGTTTTCTGAGTACTGCTGTTTGCTGGTCTGATTTGCTACAATTTCTGTGTTCAGTGTGAGTTTGCTGTTTGCTTGCATGCTGTTTGCTTGCATGTGTGTTAAGTCCCTGTGTGATGATTGCTATGTGGAGTACTAACTGTGTGCCTGTGTCTTGGGAGGGGTAGAATAGAAATAGGAAAACCGCAAGGATTCAGGGACAAGATTGAGTTTGGAGGTATTATCGATCTTGAACGAGGAATGCGTAGTAAGCGTGAGTCATCAGGTCGCGCTGATTACGTCCCTGCCCTTTGTACACACCGCCCGTCGCTCCTACCGATTGAATGGTCCGGTGAAGTGTCCGGATTGCGGTGATCTCGGCGGTTTGCCGCTGGGGGTGCTGTGAGAAGTTCATTGAACCTTATCATTTAGAGGAAGGAGAAGTCGTAACAAGGTTTCCGTA